CACTAGTGTTGAATAGTGTTCAGCTGCCACCAGACAGCTGTTCAGAAGAGCACGATGGTGTGTTAAAACGTGAACAGAGCACGGCCAGCCGGGCTGATAGGCTGTGCAGAGTGGGTCTGTTTTGAGGGAATAAAATTTGTGGAGATTAGAAATAACAGTGTTGTATAGAATGATTCCTGTTGAGTTTAGCTGTCTGCATATGAAAAGCCAAGTGGAGATTTTCTAAGTAGGAAGAGTCCTGAAGCAGAAAGGTAGAGACGGGTGCTGGTGCTAAGTTAACACGGAGTCTGACACAGGGCAGAACATTGGCCGGCGTCGTTTTCTTTCATCTGCCTTTGTAGTTTCATTTCCATCTGCAAGATTACAATTACAGATTGAGGAGTTTTGCTAATTGTTGAGTGTCTCCTTTTCATGAGGAACCTGAAAATTTATAACAGCTTCTCAGAAATGCTAACAGCTGATTCAGCAGCCAAAGAGGATTTCATTATAGGGTATTATTAATGGAATTTGAAAGCGAGTGACTGTTTTCTATTTTGCTGTTGTTTTGTCTGTGACATACTAAGGCAGAAATAAAAAACCCAGGTGATTCTATTTCTGCTTTTTATTTTTAGAAACATTTTGTTTTTTTAAAACTGTAGCTTTTAAAAGTGTATTTTAGGTCTATCAGCATTATATCTTGAATGAGTTTTTCCGTAAGAACACATCTCTGGCAGCTTTTATTCATTTATTAAGCACTTATTTGAACACAAACTGTGGACTTTGTTCACACTTGTGTATATATAGTATAATAGAAATCTTTGTCAAATTTTGTGAATGATTAATATCTAGAAATTATACTTTTTCTAACTGTTCTACCAACTAAGAGACCTTCTATAGTTTAGATCTTTAGTTAGTGTAATTATTTGCATGTGAATTTTTGTATATAAAAATCAAAGAATAAAGACAGAAGTACTTCAGAAAACAATGAGACTGATAAAAGGAGAAAGCCAACCATGTACATCAGTCCTGTGCTAAAAGCGAACACAGGTTCTTTGTCCCCACCTAGTAAACTGAGGGTTTTAGAGAACCTTTTTGTGGTTGTGCTACTGAACAAACTAGAGATTTCATTCAGGTGACCGTTTATGTTAGGTGTGACACAAACTAAGGAAATGGTCATAGAAAGGTAGTAACTTGCCAACATCTAATTAATTGAAATGATTTTGTATTCAGCTTTTAATTAGTTGTAAATATTAGTCCCTGTAAATGTAGCTATTGATTTATTTTGTACTAATTCTTAGTTTCCTGTCTTTTTTTTTTTTTTAGCCCATGGTTATGCTATGCTTACCACTTTTTTTTTTGGTACTGAGAATCGAACTCAGGACCTTACGTTTTGCCAGGCAGGTGCTGTGCTGCTGAGCTATATCCCCAGGCCTCACTAATTAATTTTTAAGTAGTCATTATCTATACTTACTAGACCTTGAATGATTTTCTGCATCTTATTATGTGTGAGTTTTAGTATGATATGTTTCCTTAAGAGCTCCATTGAGTGTTTTTAGCTTTTTGAAACTGGGTGCATTTTCTGATTCTCTACTTTCTTATATAGTATAATAACAATCTTACTATACTATATAAGTCTATTGATCTGTCCAATCTCTACTATATAATACTGGTCTAGAGTTGTCCATACGTAGGGAACACAGGGCCTGGGAGACTGCATTATCCAATCAGGATTTATAGTGTAGATGTTGAGTGAAGTTCCAGCATTGAGTTCCAGAGCCAGATACCTCAGTGTAGAAGCCAAGATTTAAATGCTGATCCTAAAACAAGTCACTGTCAAAGTGGTGGTAGGTTGAAAAACCAAGATGGTGAAAGCGGTGGAGATATATGATAACACTGGTGGTAAGAGGTAGTCAGATGTTCAGAACCATCTGCGTGCAGTATAGTAACTGAAGCACCAACTGCATATGGGTTAGTCCCTACAGGCCTCAGGAGGCCAGAGGAATGTGGTCCAGAAAGTTAATAGTGCTAGTTCTACTGGGGAAAATACATCTATAGTATATCCCTAAAAAAGCTATCTGTTAACTCTTGAGTCACTAGTATAGAATATGAACAGGAATGTATCTGTGTATTTTCTAGCTAATTACTTCTTCAATGGTCAGAGCATTGATTAGATCTCATAGCTTGATACTAGTGAAATTTGAGCTTATAGAAATAAAAGCTAACTTTGTTAAGGAAATTCTTAATTAAGATAAAGTGTTAACTACGATAGGTAAAACTACTTGTTTTTCTGGCTTGTTTAGAATTTTGGTTCTTGTGTAAAACATCTAAAGGAAATGGGTATATTTTACAGCTTATTTCAGGCATGTGCATATGATCAGCATTAGATTCACATAATTGAATTTAAATGAAAACACTGGAAGGTCTCTCTGTCTGGAGGTACAGATAGTTTAGCCAGACAGATCAATAACACTGAGCAAATCCAAGCAGGAAATACAATCAAAAGTGTATTCCCACACCTTAAGTGATAGCTCTGTGTGTGTGTGTGTGTGTGTGTGTGTGTGTGTGTGTGTGTGTGTGTGTTTGAGACAGGGTCTCGCTCTGCACTTCAGGCTGCCCTTGAGTTCACTTTGTAGCCCAGGCTGCCTCGAACTTGCAGTGATCCTCCTGCCTCAGCCTCCTGAGTGCTGGGACACCACGCCCGGCTTTTAAGTAATAGCTTTTTTTTTTTTTTTTTTGGCGCTACCAGGGATCAAACTCTCAACCTTGGGCTTGCCAGGCAGGCATTTATGCTACTGAGCCATATATCCCCAGCCCCTAAGTGATAGCTCTTAATCATTTTGGACTCCTAGCTAAACTGCAGTCTTTCCCAGGGCATTGCCAGTTGCAGTTCTCCACGTAAGTGACAGCTGCAGCACGTTAGTATGAGTATGTTTTAGGATGGAAGTTCTGCAGGTTTCTGCCCTGGATCAGGTGCGGTAGCTACGCTTGGACCTTCCACGTCATACTTCATTAATGAAAAATAATAATAAAGTTAGAAAATTAGTAAAATGTGTTCAACATACTGCCGACTGTGTGGCACTCAACTGTATTCCCAGCACTCGGGAGACTGAGGCAGGAGGGTCACTGGGAGGCCGGCCTGGGCTACATAGTGAGTTCACTGGCAGCCTGAACTCCTGCACACAGTGACACCCTGTCTCAAAAACAGCAACAAATCCACAATGTTAACACATTGCGTGCCCCGTGGTGTTGGCAGGTCATCCGGCAGGAGATAGGGAGAATATTTGGGAATGAATTACAGAGGTTATAGAGCAGTCACAGTTACTTTTTTCTTCTTGGAAAAAGACATGGTATTTTATGTTGGATGAAAAAAGCAGGAAGGGCTTTTTGGGGAGGTATGTGTTTGGGGTTTTGTTTTGTTTTGTTTTGTTTTGTGTGCTGGGAATCACACCCAGGGCTGTATGTGTCCCAAGCATGATGGGCATTATCTGTAAGCTTTCTATATAGAAAATAAAGGAGTACTAAGTGTGGATTTTACTCTCAAAGAGTTTGTTTCTTGATTTATTTAAGTATAGCCACAAATAGCCACGTAGTACCACTTAGAGTAGCACCACATTATGATCTGAGATTTAAACACTAAATGGCTTAGTAGAGGGTTTTTTTTTTTTTTTTTTTTTGGTTGATGCTGGGATGAAACCCAGGCCTTTGAATATGGTGGACAAGTCCTCTACCACTGAACTATATCCTCAGCCCAGATAATTAGAGTCAGTAGCTTTTCTAAGTATTGTGTAATGGTCTACACAATAGTAATTTTATATTAAATCATATGCTTTGTGTCCCATTATAACTTTGGTCAGTGGGATAAAATAGTGGCTCCTCAGAAAGCTTAATTTCATGTGAAGAGACTGAACTCATGGACAAGCCATTTAACTGTAAATTGTGACTGCATGGAATTCCTTTTTTTGGTAACAGTTGATTCCCTCACCTCACATACACATGTTCTCAGCTAAAGCCTGCCATCTTGTGGCCTTTAAAAGACAGGCTTTAGAGGGAAATTTTTGCTATGATGTTACAGTTGGATTATGATACCAAAATGAGTGATAACAGATCTTTTTAAGTTATATTTTCTTAACATTTGGTCAGATAATTTCTTCATTGTATTTTAATATTACAGAACTACTTAAAAATTGCTGTTAAAGACTTCTCTTAGCCCATCCTCAAATGCCAGTAGCAAAAATATTCTTCTACAGTAACAGTTTTAAGTCAGAGCACATGCTGAGAACTGTGATAGTAGTAAAGCTTTCCCCAGGTGATGAATTATAGCGGAATTATTTGAACAAGAGAGATACTGTGCTTCATGATAATTGTTGGACAAACTAAAGGAACTTTAATTTTATAATAGCTCCATTTAATGAAAAGTAACATTTAGAGAAAAGTAAATCTCAATTAACACTTCCTTTTTGGTAGTTAATAATATAAACTGACCATTTTTCTGCAAGATATTAGAGAGGCTCTTGTAGTTTAGAAAATCTTAAATCCTCTCTTAAGAAATGAAAGGTGCTAGCAAGCTTCTTGGGGTCAATTTTTTAAGAGGATTTCTGTATGATGTATCATTAAGTTATAAAATTACTTAAAATAATTCTAGTTCTATTATATTTAATCTCATTGTATATTTGACATATATCTTCTGTACATCGTGATCTATAATGTTCATTGCATTTAAAAGTAAACTTCCATTTCTTTAGACATACCTTTTCTCAGTGTGCCTCTTCATAGAACCAGGGCAAGAAATACACTCTCATTCAGAAATAACTTACATTGGACCTCTTTGATCTTTAGCCATTAATAAGCATGTGACATAGAAAGAGAATGTTGTTATCTACCCCAAACTGTAGATCTGTGGTTTTAGTAGGTTTGGGTAGCCCTTACTTAAGCGGCTTCTTTTCTCTCTTGCACAGGCAAGGAAAAGGCCTGAAGTCAGAGGTATGATTTGATGTCTGTGCCCTTTTTCAATTATATTACAGTTATGCTAAGAAAGAATCTGATCTTAATGGAGCCCAGATTAAGCTTCGAGAATATGAAGCAGCATTGAACTCTAAAGATGCAGCTCTGGCTACTGCACTTGGTGACAAAAAAAGTTTAGAAGGAGATTTGGAGGATCTGAAGGATCAGATTGCTCAGGTAAGGCAAGATACTTCTTCACTATATTGGGCAGGTTAATTGCCATCTCTCTTACGCTATGGTTCACCTGAGTGATTGATTTTATTTTTATTTTTTTGGGAAATTTTTATTTAAGCCTTTTTTTGGTGGCTTGCCTGAAGAAGTCTTGAGGTAGCTAACCTACAAAATATGATCACTTTCTCAGTCATGCTATCTGTATTATGTATTCTTTCTCCCTTGTGCAAATACTTACTGTCTCTTACTCTCAGTCTCTTTCATTATTGCATCAAAATGTGAGGTGGAAAAGAGATTTCTTTTTTTTTGTTTTTTTTTTTTTTTTTTTTTTTTTTGGTTTTTCTCCGGTACCGGGAACCGAACTCACGACCTTGCGCTTGCTAGGCAGGCGCTTTTGCCGCTGAGCTAAATCCCCAGCCCCGGAAAAGAGATTTCATAATGCTGTTCTCTCGAACACAGAAGAAATGAAAGTGATTAGCTAAAAACTATTGTTTTGCAAAACATTAGTGATAGGTCTCGTCGGTTCCCCCTGTTGGCACTTACCAGTTTGATAGGTGACCTGCTAGTGGTATCCTGTGCAGGAGACCAATAAAAGAACACAGTTCTGTGATAAGGTTAAAATGAGGAGTCATACATGGATAAATATATAGGAACTGTTGCTTGATTCGGTACATACATATCAAATTCATTGCTAAATGACATCTGTATAAATTTTATTACAATTCTTTTTCCTTGTAATAGTTGGAAGCCTCCTTAGCTGCTGCCAAAAAACAGTTAGCAGATGAAACTTTGCTCAAAGTGGATTTGGAGAACCGTTGTCAGAGCCTTACTGAGGACTTGGAGTTTCGTAAAAACATGTATGAAGAGGTAATTGTATATAATTTTACTTTTTGAAGGAAAAGATATTCACAAGAGGATAAGTTATAAATATATTTTATTTATGATTCTTTCCCATAAGAAATGTATCAGGTAGAGATGATAAGATTTGGGGTTAGGAGAAAGCTTGCAAATCAGCTGTTCAAGGTACGTCTGTAACTCTAATACCGTAAACATAAAATTTCATTTCATCTGACTGAGAAAGACTTGGTCATCGGGAGTTGCTGTCACCATGGTTACATGTTGCGTTAGCCACCTTGCCTGACGTGATTAACTTAGAGCAGTGGTGGCGAACCTTGTAGAAGCTGGTTCCCAAACTGCAACCCTGGATCTGTTTATTTATCAGGAACACTGCAGTTAAAGCTGAATACTGAGGTTTTAGTTTAGAAAAAACAATTCATGCTTTAACATCTTTTGTCTTAAAGAAAAATAACACCTGTGGCATAGGTTTGCCACCTCTGACCAGAGCCACAGAGCTGGTTGGTTGATTGACTGATGGATTGGTTTCTTGAGCCTCTGCTTTGAACCACTTACCCTGACCTTTTCTTTTTATTCTGAAACAGTCTTGCTGAGTCACTAAGTTGCACAGGTGGGCTTGGACACGCAGTACTCGTGCCTCAGCCTCCTAGAGCTCTGGGATTACAGATGTGTGCCACTCTGCTCAGCTCAGCGTTCGTTTCTGTAGGTCAGGAAGCTGAAAGCTGCTTAAAGGATGGTTCTATTTCCGGATCTCTCAAGGTTACATTTAAGCTTTCACCTGAGCTGTAGAAACTGCCCTGGCTTTCAGTCATGGGAGTGTTGACGGGAGGAATCAGCTCCTTGGCACATGCTCTGCGCAGAGTGGCTCATGATACGCCAGAGAGGGAGGCAGGCAGACAGACAGAGACAAGACCACCGCAAAGCCATGTTGTCTTCGATGAGCCAGTCACAGACGGGCCACCATTGCCTTCTGGTGGTCGTGATAGAGCAGCCCCTTAACACAGCATGGCAAGCAGAGGATGCTGGGGTGAGAATGTGAAGAGGCAGCGGACGCCGGGGTCACGGCCTTTATAGGTGCGCGTGTAAAACTGAACATAGCGATTATAGTTTCCGCTGTGGAGATTGAGGAAGCAGCACTGCAGCTGTTGCCACACAGGAGGAGGGCATGTGTGTTCTCTAAAATTGAAGGGGACTAGTGTTCACCCAGGGAGAAGAGTGTGCTCATAAATGTTGTAATAATTTTTAGAAGTTGTATAATTTTGAAAATAGTGACTAACAATGAGTTGAAAAGTAGGAATTCATTGTTGCAGTTAAACTTTTTTTATAATTGGGGGAAATATAATTAATAGAAATCTGATCATTTTTATTACTGTTTACCTAAAATAGGCATTGTTGGTGTCCAGAGCATTGGACAAGAAATCAGTTTTTTATTATTTAAAACAAAAGATTGTTACTGCTACTTTTCTTCGAAGGAGTGAGCAGTATCAAAGTGAAATACTGCATCTGATAACTTGTATCACATACTGTTGCATAATAGTTAACAAATATGACTTTATGAAAGGAGACTTTTGTTTTGTGTTTTTGGAGACAAGGTTTGGCTGTGTATTCTAGGCTGGCCTTGCACTCATTATGTAGCCCAGGCTGGCCTCAAACGCCCAGCGGTCCTCGTGCCTCAGCCTCCCGAGTGCTGGGATGACAGATGTGCGCCACCATGCCTGGTTTATTGTTTTGAGACAGGCTCTCGCTGTATAATCCAGGCTGGCCTTAAACATCTTTTGTAGCCCAGGCTGGTGTTGAATTCTCAATCCTTCTACCTCCACTTTCTCAGTGCTGGGATTACAGGAATGAGCAAAGCACACATGTTATATGGAGTTGACGTATATTTTTGTTTTGTTTTGTTTTGTCCCTGCTCTGTTACTATTGATGTTGTGTGTAGAAAACCAAGGGTATGTTTTTCTTTGTAAAGTCATTGTTTCTATATAAAATAATAATTGAAAAATGCTAACAGTAGAAAGTAATATTTTTACAGTGGATAGCATTTCTGAAGGGTTGATTTTTGCCTTTTTGAGAATGATTTTGAGATATTCCTCTTAATTATCTTTTTCCCACAATGAGGACACTCTCAGTGAGTATGCCTAACTTCTGTTTTGTGAACAGTTAAGGAAAAAAGAAGAACAAGGGAGGTAGACAAAGGGCACGCTGGTAGCAAGGGCTCAGTATTTATTAAACTAAAGTGATACAAGAGCCATTTGCTTCATTAAACAGAATGAGCTCTGGGAAATTCATAGGAGAACCAGGATTTGAACCATGGTTTTCTGATTTATCTGATTCTGTCAAGTGCATTTTCTTCTGCAATGATTAAAAGAAAGATGAGAGAATGTATGAAAAAACACATGCACCAAGATACACAGAGGATTTCACAGAGTTATACACCCCTCTTGTGGCTTAATTATTGCCATTAAAAATATCTGTTGCATTCTTCCTGGCAAGAACCTAAGGTGAAAATTTTATTCTCGGACTTGTTTTCTTAGCCTCAGATTTCACATTTTAAGAAAATCTTATAAAGAGCTGAGCATGGTGGCACACACCTGTAATCCCACCACTTGGGAAGCTGAGGCAGGAGGATTACTGTGATTTCAAGGCCAGCCTGGGCTACATAGTGAATTCAAGGTCATACTGAACTATAGTAGTGAGACCCCATTTTAAGCAAAAAAAAAAAAAAAAAGAAAGAGAATCTTGTAGATTTGAAGTTGTCTGCAAAATCCACATGTATCTTTTTTAGAGGTTTCCTTAGGACTATCAAGAGGTAGGGTAGGCAGTAGCTGGGGAGTGTTTAATGCAGTACCCTTCTAGTTACTTACGATAACATGGCACTTTAGTACATTGAGGCCATTTCTTGCCTTCAGAGAGATAAAGTATGCACATTCTTGGGGAAAAAAAAAAAAAACAAAACCAAGAGAAAACACCCAGAGGTCTGGTTACTATTGTTTCTGTCATTAATTCCGTCTCAGAAATATCCTCACATGAAAACTAAGAGGCAATAGTGTATTCACACTTCCTGGGACAGGCAAAAGTGTGTAAAGCTTCACATGGCCCGACAGCACTCAGACTTGCACCAGCGCAGCCAAGGAGAGTAACTTGTTCTGGTTGACATCATTTTTCTCCCTGCAGGAGATTAATGAGACCAGAAGGAAGCATGAGACGCGCTTGGTGGAAGTGGACTCCGGACGTCAGATTGAGTATGAGTACAAGCTGGCGCAGGCCCTGCACGAGATGAGAGAGCAGCACGATGCCCAAGTGCGGCTGTACAAGGAGGAGCTGGAGCAGACGTACCATGCCAAGGTGAGCGCTCCCTTGACAGCCTCACCACTGTGAGCACCAGGAAGTGATGTTCTGTTCTGTTTTATTAAATGATTCCGTTAGTCTCTGTGAAAATGGAAAATGGATGGATTTTTTTAAAAATGCAGCTTTCTATAAAGATATTATTAGAAATGATAGGAAAATAGGGTTATTCCACTTTCATTCTTATTAAAGGCTTATCTTTTTTGTCCCATTGGCCAGTCATACTGTATAGTTAGGACAAAGCGTCTGAAATACTTTTTTCACAGAAGGTAGTGACATGCTGCCCCACATATCCATGGAATATTATGTTGCTTCTCAGTTCTGACTCCAGGCTGTCCTGGTGTGTAGATTGTGACTACCACACTTGGGTATTTTTGTGTAAGAGCCAAAGGGAAAGTCCCTAATTATTTCTTTCTTTGTCATTGGTACTCATTTGAAAAGTATAAGAACATTACTTGTATTGCCAGACTGTACACACATCTAGGCTTTGCTGGTGAGTTTAACCTCCTGTTAAATATTACATAATTTAAGTAATAAGAATTATTAGTGGAAGACTTAGAAAATCAGGGTCATAGAGTTAGTGAATGTAATTTCCATTGCACGGCTTCAAGCCGTCCATGTTGAGTTTCAGCCGCTGTGTGAAGCAGTGATTGGCTTGTGAAGGTTGGACATCCCGTCGGGGTCCCTGCAGTTGTCTGTCACTAAACACGGGGCAGCGAGCCAGGTGGGGACGGAGCTGCAGTGAAGGTCAGTCACCAACTATGGCTTTCAAGGGAGGTGGGGAAGGAACATAAGAACGTGTGCCCAGCACACGTACACACAGTAGAGTGTGGGTATTTGGAGGAGTAGCGTTTTGTGTGTATTTGAGGAGCTATTTTTGCTTCTGAATTTCTATCTTGTTTGAAGGAATCTATTCTGTACTAGATTTGCTGGGTTAGGGACACATGTAATGTCTTCTTACAGTATCCCCACCGTCCAGTTGCTGTAGCTCATTTTCCTTTTAGAGTATTATTCTAGGCATCACAGGTTCAGCAGTTGAAATATTGAAGTGATACACTTTGGGTAAAATCCCAATTATGTTAACATTGTTAAAGTTTGTATTTTAGAAAATAAATCTGAAAGTGGCGACAAGGTAATTCACACGTCATCGCACTTCGTGGTGCTTTTCCTGTGTTTCATCAGCCTGTTACCAGCAGGACTTAAGTCTGAAATGCTTTGGGGTGAATCATGCTTCCTCCTTGGCTCTAATTTAAAGATAAGGCCATGTCTGCTGCTTTTTTCAGCTTGAGAATGCGAGACTGTCCTCAGAGATGAACACTTCCACTGTCAACAGCGCCAGAGAAGAGCTGATGGAAAGTCGCATGAGAATCGAGAGCCTCTCGTCTCAGCTTTCTAGTCTTCAGAAAGAGGTAAGAAAACCCCTTCCCGTAGGCAGAGTCGAGTTAAACTGGGAGGCCCCCTTGACCAGAATCCTCTACCTGCTCTGCCTGTCACTCCGCCCACTGTTTGTCACAGGTGATATTTTTTGGCACTCTAGTTTTCACAGGGCTTTCCCAGATTTTTTTCACTTTGCATTGCATAAGCATCCTCTGAGCAGATGCTGTTACTCGTATTGAGCAGAGCTCAGGGGTGAATGGGGCTCTTTGTTTACTGGAATTGCCCTCAGCCTCAGGTTTTCCACGGTGTCTGTCAGCCTCGTCTCTGCAGAGGGCTCTTCCTGACCCATCGTTGTCATGTGTAGAAAACAACATGAAGGAAGATTTGGAAGAATTCATTGTGGGTGATAAATGCTTTGTGTTTCTAGACAAATTCCCTTTGTGCTTGAAATACCTAGTAATTAGGTTCTTGGGATACAGCATTAATTTCTGTATTTATTAGGAATTTGGGGGTTTCCTTGGTACACCTAAGTGGCAGATGATTGCACTGCTGATTGTGTTGAGTGGTAGCCTGTCAGTACATGGTGTTGTGTTCTAGGTACAACTTCAAATCGGTGCATAGCTTCAGGTCTGTCAGTCTGGGACAGTGATGGCGAAGCTTTTAGAGACTGATGTCCGGACGGCAATCCAAAACCTACTAACTTATCACAACCTGAATACTGAGGTGTTAGTTTAGGAAAAACAACTCATATATTAACATGTCTTGTCTCAAAAACCAGGAACATGCGTGCCATGGGTTTGCCATCACTGGTCTGGGGTGAGGTCAGTATGGGTACAAAGTACATACAGCCATGCAAATAGTCAGCATTGCTTTGAAATTTACTGCTCAATTTAATTACTTGGGAAGTAATTGGGAAGTGATACTTCAACTTTTGTTTTCCTTCAAGGTGAAAATCTTGTTTTGTATTTTCCACGTAAGAATGAACTGTATGTTAATTCGTTCTTGACTTTGCTTTTCATTTTCATTTTCTTTTTAGTAAATTTTTTTCTAATCGCAAAACAGGCATCATTTATTGTACAAATTTAGAAAACAAAATGGATCACATAAAACAGGCTGGTATAAAAGAATTAGTTAACTGTAAGTTTTATATTGCTTATGAATACTGAATCAGAATATAAAATTTAAAAAAATTATAAAAATTTACAACTGTTTTATCCCAATAATACTTTGTTTTCAGGGAAGAACTGAGCTGGAAGTGCAGTCACTTACCCAGAGATTACAAGCTAATAAATGAGTTTCTCTTCTCGTTCCCAGTTTTCCATTTGTACCTCATTCTCTTCAAAGGTTTCCTTTTAGGAATTTAACAGATACTTTGTTTTCTGTTGTACCATCTGTCTGAGTCCTTTCGGGGCTGCTGTTAAAATATAGACTTGGTAGCAGTGAGAGCAGAAACGCATTTCTTACAATTCGGGAGGCTGTGAAGTCCAAAGCCAGGGCACTGCCGGAGTGGGGCTATGATGGGGGTGCTTCCTGCTTCCGGGCGATGCCTTCTTGTCGTGTCCTCAGTGACGGGAGGACGGGTGAGCTCCGGTGGCCACGTCTCTTAATACCATCATGATGGAAGTTTGGGTTCAATGTGTGAATTTCCGAGGGGCATGTTTATTCCATAGCACTGTTTTTTAATATACTTTCTAGAAATAGGCTTTTCTGGTCTTATGCTGAGTTAATACTGACTGCTTTCTCCATTTGATGATCCATATTTTAATTATTACCTCTCCTTTACTGTTAGTTGTCCCTATCTCTTTCACTTACTTGTCTGAGGCTTAATTCATTTGATCATACTTGGTTGAGCTTGAGGTCAATCTTCATTTTTATAGACTTGTCTGTGGTTAAATAGGGGTTGGCTCTGAAACTTAGTAGTTAGGTCTTCTGACGTAGGCTCAGGGTCTTTTCCCTGTTGGTTGTTAATTCTATTCCCATCCTTATTGGTTTTTATCCTCATATTGTGGGTTTTTTTTTTTTTTTTTTTTTGGTTTTTCTCCGGTATCGGGAACCGAACTCACGACCTTGCTCTTGTCAGGCAGGCGCTTTGCCGCTGAGCTAAATCCCCAGCCCCTCATATTGTGGGTTTTAAACAGTGTTAGACTTGTCCCTGAGTGTATTTCTTAGCAAATAGAAGAGAGAAATATTCCCTTCAGCCAAAATAGCTTTTAATTTTTCTGGGTAGAGGGAATTTTTTTTCTTCTATTCATTATTGATAGCAGATTTTATGATGAAGGATATAATTTTATTAGTGAGTAAGCTTTAGCCTTAGAAAAGACATTAAAAAGAAAAAGATGATCTTAATACTTTCTGTCATGCAATAGTACAGTATTTCTTGTTGAGTCATAGAAGTTTCCTCATGCTACCTGTTAAGCCATAAGAGTTTCCTTTTGGTTATGTGATTCATGTTAGTGAAGAAGTATGTAAATTATACTTCTTAAATTTTACTTAAGATTGACATTGACCTTAATTGTTTTATTTTTATTTTTTTCCGGTACCGGGAATTGAACTGATGACATTGCGCTTACCAGGCAGGCGCTGTGCTGCTGAGCTAAATCCCCAGACCCCTTAATTGTTTTAGAATTAGGAATTTCATACATTGCTTATAGCATTCCTAGATCCACCCCTCAACTTGGGCCCAATTAATTGGTTGGCCAGAGTCTGCTTGCCTTGAGGAGGAAGAGTTTAACGGTTACACTTCAGAAAGCACCTCTGAGGTACAAGGATATCTCATACTTGAGGCTAGCCAGACCAATTTCGCAAGACCCTGTTTCAAAACAAGAATGGACTGGTGTTGTAACTGTGCTAGAACTCTTGCCTGCCATGTACAAGGCCTTCAGTTCAAGCACTACTGCTCAAACATGAACCTGATTTTTGTTTTTCTAGTACCCAGACTCTAGCAACTTTTATTGCCCCTTAGATCACAATAAACTATGTTACAAATTATTAAAAAAAAGCAATTGCAGACCACTAGCACTTACCGACTTAACAATAGAGGCAGCATCTTAGAGATAACTTAGTTTAATGTCTTCATTTTATTTCATTTTTTTTTTTAAATTTACTTTTTGAGACAGTGTCTCTCTATGCAGTTCAGACTGGCATTGAGCTCACTATGTAGTCCAGGCTGGCCTTAAATTCTCAGCAATCCTCCTGCCTCAGCCTCCTGGGTTCTGGGGTTACAGGTGTGCACCACCGCGCCCGGCCCTCATGTCTTCATTCTATAAATGCTAGTGAAGGTGGTCACCATTGCCAAGTCTCACGGTGGTCAGTGCAGACTTGGAAAGCTTTCCGTCTAACTTCTTATGCGCTGTTTCTTGTGAATCACTATACAGCAAACATAAATGCAGCATCTTAAAATACTTCTATTTAGGAGGGTGATTCAGAGTAACTTTAACAGTTTTTTATACCTTGGTTTTGATTTTTACCTTTTAAAGAATCAGCAACATCAAAGGCAGTCAAGTATAGAGACATGCACTCTGCGTTTGGAAGCCTGGGCTTAGAGGCTACGTGGGAATGCTGAACAGCTTGTCTTCCCGGCTGTCTTTTCGAGGCCCTCTTTGTTGTCTTATCTCCCACATCTGGAACAGACTGAGGAGGTTAAAGAGAAGGCATTTTGAAGTAAGAGTGTTCAGAACAGAAAGGCGTAGGAGAGGAGTGGATTTCCTTGTTTATAGTATGGTTTTTGCAAGTGTGGTTAATTGCAAGCTCTCTGAGGCACAAGGGCTGTTACAGTGTCTGAAGAGGAATGCTTGTTTCTGATGCAGAATGTCAGGTGTTCCTCAGGAACTTAATTGATTGAGGAATATTTTAAGTGATCTTTTTATTTTAGCCTAACTTAAGATTTTAGGTGAGTCTGGAGCAGAAGTGCAGATGGAGTTCATGTGTGCCGGTCCACTTTCTCCCTTCTTAGCGTCTGAGGCTCCCATGGGGTATTTGAGAAACGTACAGTAATCCGTAACTATAACCGAGACTCCGGACTCCGGATTATACCAGTTTTTCCGTTGCCATCTTTCTTTCCCCGGGTGCCACCTGCTTCCCTACTGTCCCCTGGGCTACTTTGACGGTGTCTTGGGTTTCTTTGTTTTTTCATGACCTTGCGTCTTGAGGAGTGGCCAGGTGTCCCAGAGACTGTTATGGAATTTGGGTTTCTCTAGTGCTTTTCATATAATTAGTCTGGGGCTTTGGGTGTTAAGTGCCTGTCCTGTCATGTGGTATCCAGGACTACACAATAATTTCTGGCAAAGTGTCGTTGCGATTATATTTGCCAGATTTTCTTCACTGTCAGTAGAGTTAGCATTTTTCCCCTTTCAGACTCTGTTCTTGGAAAGCAAGTCACTAAATCCAACCTACCCTCAAGTGTGAAGGGCAGGAATTAAAATCCACTTGATGGGGGTAGATCTTTTGTTTTTGTTTTTGTCTTTTTGAGACAGGGTCTCGCTGTGCAGTTCAGGCTGACCTTGAACTCACTTTGTAGCCCAGGCTGGTCTCGAACTCGCAACAGTCCTCTTGCCTCAGCCTCCCAAGTGCTAGGATTACAGGTGTGCACCACCATGCCCGGCTGGGGGAGATCTTTATTTAGTGGAATTTTTCTGTGAAGATTACCCCATTTATTTACTTGTTTATGTGATAATGGATTTATGGGCATGTATTTTATAGTTTTGGTTATAATCCAGTACTATATTATTTTATTGGCTCAGATCATCGCCTCTTTTGGAATACTGCCAAGTTTACCACTGTGTACCTTGCTTTTTGAGCAGCTCCTTGCTGCCTGATACTGTTAAGATGCTCCAAGCTTACCATGTAATTTTTCTACCCAGCCCTAGAATTACCCGTTTTTCTTAAGTCCTGGTTCTTTTCATTAGAGTTATGTAGAAATTTGGATTTGGGTTCATTGGTATTGAGGTATCATTGCTTCTGGACCCCCTCACAAGGAATAGAACTCTGTACGTAATATATGTGTGTAATGTGGTCCATGTGTACACACATATGTTTTTCTTTTTCTTTGAAAGAGGAGAGAGAATGTGGGGGAAAGACGAGAAGTAAGAGAGAGGAAAGGAGACGGGGGCGTCGGGGAGGAAGGCGGGAGAATGGAAAGGGGGAGGAGAGAGGGGAGGGGCTACATGTTCTTATATTAAGCTGAGTTCAAGCAGATGTGTGACTATTGTGAATCTGGCATCACCAGGTTCACCTTTGGCTTTCTAAGCTGCCCATAACTTCTCTATATGAACGAGAAACCTGGTTTGTCCTACCAGTTCACTTATTTCATGAGCCACACAGTGTTATCTAAAACAGTTTAAAAATTTCATACCTATGCCCCTGCGAGGAATAAATTTACCAATAGGAGCCCAGTATTTATTATAATGTGTGGTTTCTTTTTTATCTGAAGCTGTTTGGATTTAATGTTCACATAGTAAGTTAGGTGTCCTTTCCCCTCCAATGATGGAGCGACTTGTGATTCTAAGGGCCAGCGCTTCCTTCCCTCCATCAGTCTGAATTGATTACCTTTGTCATATTCTGAGACTACTGAGGTGAATTCTGTCATGGAGAAAAGCAGAAGAATAATTATGCAGCAAGCCACAAGGTCTCTAATATGAACTTTCTGGTGTAGAATGCGATTTTTGATTTTTTTATACCAAATACTACATAAAGTTTCTGTATTTACAGTAATATTTTACATCATCCTATATCATGTGTCCTTGTGTGCCTGATGAAACATGGACAAGCACAGCAATCTGAAAGGGACACATGGTGGTGGCTTCCACATGAAAACCAGAGCCCCTAGCTGGGCATGGTGGTGCATGCCTGTAATCCTAGCACTCGGGAGGCTGAGGCAGGAGGATCGTTATGAGTTTGAGACCAGCCTGGGCTACAAAGTGAGCTCAAAGGCAGCCTGAACTGCATAGCGAGACCCTGTCTCAAAAAGACAAAAAAAGAAGAAGAAAACCAGAACCCCTTCTCTTTGGTTCTAAATATCCCTCAGCAGGTCTCCAAAACATGCTTTCATCCGTCCTTGTTTTGTGAATGTGTTTTCCTATCTTTTTAATTTTCTATTTAATTTATACTTTTGAAGTGACAGCCTTGTAGGGAAACCAGACCTGACCTTTATTTACCACAAATACAGTTTAAAATTTATTTGGTGAAGTACAGAAAAAAATTACATGGATATTTACAAACTTAATTTGTGGTTTATTTCTGTTTTTAGCCTTTAGTTAGCCAAAGTCTCCTAAGAGCTGTGGTTTGTATTTTAAGAATTTTGGTTATTAACATCTTAATATGTTTTTGAATTCTAATGGTTTAGAGATTCATAGGTCTCTGTTTTTCAGTCTAGGAAGTGGTTTAAAATAGCAGCCTTGTGCTTATGTTGGAATGTTCCTAGGAAGTAAGTGTGTTTCTTTGAATCTGAAGTCTAGAGCATGTTTGGAGAGGATTCAGGAGCTGGAGGACTTACTCGCCAAAGAACGGGACAACTCTCGCCGCATGCTGTCTGACAAAGAGAGAGAGATGGCCGAAATAAGGGATCAGATGCAGCAGCAGCTGAACGATTATGAACAACTTCTTGACGTGAAACTAGCACTGGACATGGAGATCAGTGCTTACAGGAAACTCTTAGAAGGCGAAGAAGAGAGGTGAGCCCTTGAGGAGTTACCTGATCTTACCGACTTTTTTTTTTTTACCTCCACTCCTTTAATTTAAGGAAAAATAAGAAATTTTTAATAATCAAGGCAATGCTGAACATTTTCTTTCATTGCTTAAAACAGCAAGCTATAAAGGTGGTAGTGTTTCTACTGCAACAGAAAATGTTGATCAAGGAGTTTTAGTTTAAATATTAGAGTTAGTCTGGATGGGCTCTTGGGATTGTAAATGTTTTGGTAATCTGACATGTTAGAGAATACCAAATTTGCTGAAAGAGACTGTATACTTACTTAAATTTCAGATCTGGTTAGCGTACTCTTTTAATACATGCTCTTAGGAAAGAAGTGCTGATGTGGCTCAGAGGTAGAGCACTTGCCTAGCATTGCAGTACCATGGGCTTAATTTCCAGCACAGCAAAAATGAAGGCAAAAGCCAGAAAGCTAATCACTTTTAATACTATGTACATTGTAACTATAAGAAAATACAGGTTTGAAAAGAGAAAGAAGTGTACTAAATAAAACAGTGATTATCTGTGGAGAAGGAAGTAGAGAAAATGATTCTCTTGGTTTCCAAGTTCTTTACTTATGGTTACATTACTGTTTGCTTAGAGAAACCATTCAGATTACTACTATATTTTAAAACAAGATCAGTGGAGGGAGCATTAGAATCAATAAATGTTTTCTTAGTTTATCACATTTTCTACCAGATGGTAATGTCTTACTTTAGAAATGTCTGTGCAAGATGTAAACCTTTTAAAGAAAATTAAACGCCAGGCATGTGCACATCTGTAATCCCAGCATTCTGGAGGCGGAGGCGGGAGGATCACTATGAGTTCAAGGCCAGCCTGGGCTACATAGTGAGTTTAAGACCAACCTGAATTATATAGCAAGGACCGCCCCCCTCCCCCCTAAAGAAACCCTTTAGGTAAGAAGGGCAAGCATTTGTGTTTCCTAAGCAGAGTGCTTCCTTTCCCTCCAGGCTGAAGCTCTCTCCGAGCCCGTCCTCCAGGGTGACGGTGTCGCGCGCGTCCTCCAGCCGCAGCGTGCGCACCACGAGGGGAAAGCGGAAGAGGGTGGATGTGGAGGAGTCAGAGGCCAGCAGCAGTGTGAGCATCGCCCACTCCGCCTCGGCCACCGGGAGCGTGTGCATCGAGGAGATCGATGTTGACGGCAAGTTCATCCGCCTGAAGAATACCTCCGAGCAGGTGAGGTCTGGCTCGAGTTGCCCAGCGGCATTTGCAGTTTGCTGTGCTGTGATGCAGTTGTAATAGCACCTCGCTTGTATTTGGATTTAGTAAGTTTTCACAGAATAAGGGTTCCCTTTTTATTTAAATTCATGAAATAAAGTAACAATTAAAATAGGCAGAGGAAGAGGTGTGGTGCCCTTGTGATTTGAAGATTTTCTTCATTAACCTTCCTCTTGCAGTCCAGGGCCTGAGTGCGTTTGGTCATTTTGTCACTGTGGCCTTCCCAAGGTTGAGGCATCACTTCCTGCTGCACAGCCAGAGATGTGCAAGGGTTTAGAAGGATTCTGTGAAGATGGTGAATATTCTTTCACAGGCATTCATGAATGCTTTATGAAAGAAGGACCTGTGAACCCGGCCTCATAGGTTAAAGGGTATTTTTGTCTAAATGAATAAAGAAATGTTAGATTTGATTTGTGTCAAAAGTAGTATGAAGCCCTGTTTGAAGTAATTTGCTTAAAAGTGAACATAAGATAATCACCACAGGGATTTCTGAAGTTTGGAGCGGGGCTTTCAGAACGTAGTGGCCCCTGGAGGGGCTTTGGGAGCGTGAGACAGTTCTGACACAAACGTAGTCACCTGCACAGCCGGATGGATGTCACCTCCTCGAGTGTTTAAGGTCTGCTAAAAGTTATTGTGAAAGTCACTCCTGTTCTTATAAATATTTCAGCTGTCATGAGCATAGGTAGAATTTGAAAGCTCAAAAGAGCACTAGCATTTCCAGTACTAAAGAGATGTCTTTATGTGTTTCCTACAACCACCACTGAGAGTAGTCAATGAATATTCAATTGGTCACTCATGTATAGCTCTATTTATTTTCTATAGAAACCACTTTGAAGCTACAAAGTATAGTATAACAACCATTGCTAATAACCTACCACCTTTGTCTGTAACTCACTATTATTTGTCTATTTGTTTTCCTGAGAAACTATCTTGTAGATAACAATATGTAAAACAACAACCATTGGTAATTTCCTACTACTTTGTCTATAATTCGGTAAGCCCCCCTATTACTATATTATCCTTCTTTTTCTCTTTAAAATTAAAAAAAAAAAAAGAGATGTCTTGACTCCAAGGCCTCTTGGTCACAACTTTAAGAGGAGGGTAGCTTCTCCTGCACTGTGCTTAGCATTCCCCGTGTCTCCGAAGGTGGAGTGGCCAGGTGCGGGACTGTCCCGGAGCTGACCCTTAGCCCCGGCTTCCTTTTGTCTTTGGGTTCAGGCTGGATACAGATCAGTGTAGCGGATTGTTGTACCCTTCTGCACCTTTCCTCATTGGATCGGGGCTGGAGTTGATAACTGTCAACTAGGTCTGACTCACTGTATCGTTAGCTGGGTTTTGAACCCGAATACTTGGAGATGAAAGAGCTAAATGTGGACAGAAGAACACAGATACGAGGAACAAAGGACAGATTTATTTTGTTTCTAAGCTATTAATTATCTCTTAAAAGCTTAAAGTTATCAAATACTAGGTGTTTACGATTGTGATTGTAACAGCAAGATTGTGTTGCAAATTTGAAAGACTTGCCTGATCTGGCAGTGAGTGTGACTAACTTGGTTTAGTTCACACCTCTGTTCTTCTAGCTTTGTCCTGTTTAAAATTAAGTACCTTACCAAACTGTGGCATTGTTGAAGTTATTATTTTACTGAATGACAGAATTGTATTTTCTTTTTATAGTAGGAAAATAAGGATCATAGAAAGACAACCGTAGAGCTATCTTAGTTTAAAAGCCTCATGGACTCATGTATTAAATTATTCCTTAACTTCATTTATATTTAAAGTAACCTTGTTATATTTTGCTCTGTGAATAGGATCAACCAATGGGAGGCTGGGAGATGATCAGAAAAATTGGAGACACATCAGTCAGTTACAAATATACCTCAAGATACGTGCTGAAGGCAGGCCAGACCGTTACAGTAAGTGGGTTTAGTCATCATTTAGCTTAATTTTATTGTTGCAAATAACAGATAAAGTAGTTTAAAAATTTTTTGGCCTGCAGAGAAGCATCTTAGAAATGGACATTAAAACATCTTTTGCATTATTAAGGCATCATAAGTGCTATCACGGATTTTAAAAATTCTGTCTTATTGAGAGTGGTGAAAGAATGAGCCTTTGAATTTTTGTTTAATCTTGTCTTTTCTGGTGGGTATAAAATAGCTGTCTCTTGACTGATACTGGTACCCTAGTTTAATTCAGGAGCTAGTGCTTGGCTTGAAAAACTGTTAGGAATGTAACACGAGCATTGGTTCAAGCAGCAGTCACTAGTAGCCTTGATGAACTTTAAGATTATGAGTAATAATTTGGTGTCCAGGCCCTGCCTCGGCCTTAGCTGTCTGTCTCTAGGCTCGGTGTATGGCCTGCATTTTAAGCACCCGCCCCTCCGTGACGGATCCCCTAACATCTTTGTAGAAGATCAGAAGCAGACATAACCATATAATTGAGGAGTTGAGGCTCACGGAGTTGTGATTTGTCCAGGATTTAAACATAGGTTTTCTTACTATAATATTTTCTTTACCTATTGTTTTCTGCCGATAAATATTTTAGAAATAAGGCAGAATTTCTGTGTTGAAAAAGGAAGTTACTTTTTTTTGTTTGGCCTTTTTGGGGAAGAAATTACATTTTCCTTTGAACAATGGGTGATTTACCCATTTCCTACATTCTTTCCAGACTCACACCCAAGGACATTGTGACACTTTTTCTGGCTGGACAGTTAGCAGTTTTTATAAGAATATTGTAGGCATGCTGTCTGGTGCAGAAGGTCTCTTCCTGCTGTTGGCAGCTGGGGGACACTAGAAGGGGCCCAGAGGGCTTCACTTGAAGGATGGCTACAGAAGGATGGCCTACAGAAGAACAGAACACTAAGGCAGTTCACTGCGTGGGCCCATCCCCTGGGTACATCGCCAACCCCTGCTCTTACAGTGATCCTACCCATTTGTACCATTTCTGCCTCATTTTTGGATGGCAAAAGTAAGAAAACTTTCTCAAGTTCAGTTGCTGTGTAGAGTAATTAGGATGCCAGCAAGGTAACGTATCAGCTGGGGAAGTGAGGCCTCCAAAGCTCTGGGAGCTCCGTAACAGCAGTTCTGAAGATGGGGGCAGGGTCCTCAATCTTTTAGAACTCGAGCTCAGATTTCATCGTGTTGGTGTGAAGGTGCTGGGTTCTGGGTATGTTAATGATGTTCCTTCTCTTTTCCAGATTTGGGCTGCAAATGCTGGTGTCACAGCCAGTCCTCCCACTGACCTCATCTGGAAGAACCAGAACTCTTGGGGCACTGGCGAGGATGTGAAGGTTATATTGAAAAATTCTCAGGGAGAGGTATGGTCATTTATTGGTATCAGTACAATGGCAAATTCACTTGAAAGTTTGTCGTACAAGTATGATTTCTTCTCAGACAAATTGATATGTGAAGCAACTGCTTAAATCAGAGCAAGGCTGCTAATGAGTAAATCAAAATAAGTGATAGCCGGGCGCAGTGGTGCATGCCTGTAATCCCAGAATTTGGGAGGCTGAGGCAGGAGGATCATTGCGAGTCTGAGGCCAGCCTGGACTGCAAAGTTAGCTCAAGGGTGGCCTGAACTGCATAGCGAGACCTTGTCTCAAAAACACAAAAAACAAACAAATAAAAAATGAGTCATAACTACAAGTTTTAGGAATAAACCTTGATCACAGAGTCGATAGGTTCCAGAGGCCCATTGTCTGTGTCCAGATAATTTGTCTCTACTGCACATTGGCTTTGACTTTGAGCAACTTCACTTCTCTGAGCTTTCTCATTTAAAAATAGCTACCAGTACAGACAACATAAATGAGGTGGTCCGTGGGAAGTGCTCAGCGCTTGGCACTGTGCACCTGTCTAGTACAGGCTTCTGTGATCGGCCTCCTTCCGAGCTGAGTGCTCTGGCAGCGGTGAGCTGGTGGGGTGGAGTGTATCTCTTTTCTGGTGTATGCATTAACGTGTCATGCTTAGGGTTCTTGCTGAAGAACCTTCCCTCTTGTGTGCACATGTACAAATCCTTAGCAATACTAGTCTTAGAGGTACCATTTCCAGTTAGCTGCTTTGAAGCTGGTAAAGCTTGGCTTTATCAGGTCTCTTCCTCGTTTATAATGTTACCCTGGTGCTGTGCAAAATGCCACTGAGCCTCTGTTTAGAACTGAGCAGTCTCTTCTCTGTTGCTGTTGCCATGAGCCCGTCATGGGACTTGTGCTCTGTGCTTGTGCCTCTTACATTGCTCTTCATTATCGCGAGGTTCGCCTTCCCTCCTCGTCTGCCGTGAGAGCTCTCGCTGGCTTGCCTGGCAGCCCCAGTGTGCGCCTTGCCCCCGAGTTCTCCCATTTGCATCTGCTCACCCAGCCTCATGGCTGGCACCAGGCATGCACCTCAGTCTGAGTGGGAATGCTGGGCTGCAGACACGTAGGGAGGCTGACCGTATTGTAAGTGCAGGGCTACCCGTTTGGAAAGTCTAGGTACTCCTGTTGTATGTCAGCTGCTTTATGGGGGGAATACAGAAGGAAAGAAGCCACGCCTGCTTTCTGTTGTTGTGAGTCACGAACCTGGAGGAAACTGGCAGATAAGATAAAGGCATAAGAGAATTCCTGAAAAAATGCAATCCAACGGTAAGCTATGGTGTCTCAAAGAGTCACGGAAGAGATCTGTCTTACACAGAGTGGTCAGGGAAGTCAGCCTTGAGGAGGTGATACCTGAGGCTAAACCTGAAAGATGAGAGTCAGCAGTTGAGAGAATGGGAAGAAAGTCTTCCCCAACAGAGGGGACAGCAGGTGCAAAGGTCCTAAGGCAGCAGCAGGTTCTTTCTTTTGTAGGAAAGGGAGCCGTGACTAGCAGAGATGGGATAGGAGTGAGGTTGCTGGATGGTTTTTAGGGAGCGTGTTAAGATAAACAGGATGAAGAGAGAACTTTCACTGCTGGGCAGGTTGTTAGGGGTACAAAATCAGGCAGAGGCCAAGCAACTGAGGAGAGTCACGGGCTGTGAGATGGTTCTCTAGGTAGAAGAGAAGTAAGCCAGTTGAAGAGTACAGCGAAGGCAGACTTGATAGGATGCAGTGATGGTAAGGTAACTCTGAGGGGCGCTAGAGAGGCAAGGATTACTTTGACCTTTCGTTTGTTTGCTTGGGTGACTGACTGGTCCTGCACTGAGGAAGCTGCAGGAGGAACAGGCCCGCAGGAGAAGGGTTGAAGAGCTGGGTAAGGGGCTTCTGCCACGGGAAGTTGGAGAGGCCGTGAGGTGTCCAAGTGCAGACGTCTGGAGGCTGTTGAGCAGTGACTGGAAGCCCCAGGCAGAGGCGTTGGGGCTCCACATTGCACACGCAGGATCTGAAGTTCACGGACTGACTAGAAGGAGCTTGTCACTGGAGAAGGGGGTCCAGGGTTAAACCCCGGAAAATATACTTCTAGGAGTAAGTTCGAGCAGAGAAGGGAAGAGGTGCAGCCAGAGAAGGAGCAGGAGCAGCCCTGGGTGTGCTACTGGGAGAGCCGCAGTGGAGTGTGCAGGGGCCAGCGGCCAGCAGGGCCAGTCAGCGTCTTCCCGGGCCCTCCTCCACCGCGGGAGCCGGCAGACTCCGGGTTGGTCGGGGCTCAGTGTGCCAGAGTGCCGTCGCTGGAGGGGCGTGCTGGGGGCGGGGACTGTCCTGACCCATCTGGACCTTGTGCCTGGCACGAACAGGCGTGCAGTTGGACTGGACCTTCACCTAAGTTCTGAGAGGAGAAAGGCAAATCACGGTATTTGTTACGGGGTTCTGAGGTGTTTGCGTAACAAATCTGTTCCCTGCCCACTTCCCTCCTGCCCTCACTGTAAACATCTGACGATGGATTGCTCTGAGTGAGGGATTTATTGTCTGCTAAATGAGGAGTGCCCTTAATCTCAGAATGAAAATGAAATGGCGACTGATTTTTTTCACTGGAGACCTCAGAACAGTTGCGATTTTGGGGCAGATCTAAAAGTTCACTTCAATACAGTGTCGGCTGTCAGGGTCAGGTACAGATAGATGCCTTCAGTAATTCACAGACTTCGGGTGGCTGGCTCTTCGCTGCTGCAGCCCCTGCGTACTTCCTGCCTCAAGGAAGCATTTGGGAAACCTGCTCAGCTGTGGTGGGTGCCGCCACCCAGGTGCTGGAATTAACTGTAGCTTTTACGTTATTAGGTTTCCCTGATGAGTGAAATTACCGGAATATATGCCTTAAAACATCGTTACGAATGATGATTTTGCTCAGATCCAAAGCATTTTGAGTAGAAATACAGAGAGATTAAATAGGCTTTGGGAGTCCAGTCACCATACCATTTCCCCGCCTCTGAAATAGTTGGTCCAAATTAGAGCAGTTGTGTAGGATACTTAGAATGTGTCTTAAAGCACTATCACTGTCGGCATTTCAGTCAAGCTGCCTTGTCTTACTTTCTCATGGCTGAGAAAGAACGCTCCATAAGCAGCATTAAGGACAGAGAGGTTTGTTGTGGCTCACAGTTTACAGGAGTTGCAGTGCACAGTCAGCTGGCTCTTAAGGCAGGGAGGCTGGCACAGGGGCATCCCGGAGGAGAAACAGGCCATGGCAAGGCCGGCAGAAGGCAGCAAGCAACCGCAGCAGCCTCCCTTTCCCGTTTATCCCGTCCAGGCTGCAAGCCTTTTGGGTGGTGCCACCCATGCCCAAAGTGGGCTTTCCCATTACCACGCCCAGAACTATGACAAACCAGTTAGCGGGCTGCTCCATAACCCTTAATCACAGTATCACAGCCCAATCCATATGGTACACCCGAGACCCAGCCACCTCCCCAAAGCCCCAGCTGTGGCCGCATGAGGCTTTGGGGAAACATCTAGATAGAAGCCGCAACACACCTAAAGCTTACACTTCCCTTCATAATTCAAACACTGAACGTTATTTGGTTTTGTCCATTCTTTGCCATTACTTCTATATTAAATGACTTCTCTCACAAATGAAAATATTAATACAGATCTTATTTCTTTGATCTTCAAATATTTTTGGCACTTATTTAATTCTGTAAGACCACATTTTTTGTTAGTAGGTACCAGATCATATTAGTGGCAGTCTACAGTTATTTCTTTTTTTTTTTTTTTTCTCCGGTACCGGGAACCGAACTCATGACCTTGCGCTTGCCAGGCAGGCGCTTTGCCACTGAGCTAAATCCCCAGCCCCCAACAGTTATTTCTAATGATTACATTTTTGTAAGATTACAGGCAATTGGCTTAAGTCAGTTTAGTTTTTTTTATGTTTTTCTTTTTGCTGGGGGATTGGGAGTGTGAAAAAACCCAGTTAAACTGGCTTTAAAGTAATAGAGGACTTTTTGGTTCACATAATCAAACATTTAAAGATAAACTTGATCCAGTGGCCCACAGAGTCCCCAAGGCCTTGGGTTTTTTTGTTTTGTTTTGTTTTTGTTTGTTTGGTTTTGGTACCGGGAATCGAACTCAGGACCTTGTGCTTGCCAGACAGGTGCTTATGCCACTAAGCTATTTCCCCAGCCACCCAAGGCCTTGTTCTGTTTCTCCTTCCAGGGTTGCCTCCCTTGTAGGTGCAGGATAGCCGCAGGCTGCTCCGTGAGGGACATCATTCCCATTCTTTTTGTGGGAAAGGGTGTCCTCCTCCATGGGCTTCCCATCCCTGGCTTTTCTCTTACTGTACCAACTTGAGTCACACACCCGCTTTAACAGGAGGATTGCCCAAGAGTTTGGGAACCCCTTCTTCTGTGGGTTGTATATGGTTCCTTATAACACATACATGTTCCGTGATGGGGGAAGTGCACCCTGATAAAACTGGGGACTGATAATGCAGGCACAAGGGGTGGGGTGCTGGGTTATTAAAAAAAGTAGAATAGAGACATAAGTACAGCTTTTGTGTGTGTAAATGATTATTTATGCGTATGGAGATATATAGCAGTTGACTTTTCATCTACAAAAAATGGCCTTGATGTATATAGCATTGCTGATTTCTGTGGTGGAAATATTCTAACTGGGGCTAATTGTAGGCTTCCAGCGTGTGAAGAACACAGAACTGCAGAGAGGAGTTCAGTCAGCTGGTGCCAGCTGGCCTCGGCACAGCACTGAACAAAGTAGGGTGCTGCTAGTGCCCAAGGCTTTGAGCATGTGAAGTCCAGTAACGCATTTAATGGGGGAGTAAAACCTGCCATGCAAGACTGTTTAAGTATATATTTCAGGGTACTTGATTAAGTTTGAGTACTTTGCTGAGGACTTTTGTGTGTATGTGTCTGGGAGTAAGAGTCCTATTAGCATCTTGATTAATAGTAATCTTCTGGATCTAAACCTCCCAGTGTGTTGGTTCTAAGTGGTGGTTTATTTCTCTGTCCAGATTTTTAGACACTGTCTAGCTCATTCATTTTCCATGCAGGCTTTCTGCATTAGATTGTTTTTCTAAATGTTTACAGGTGAAAGGTGCTTACCAGCAGGCTTATGTTTGAAAGCAGTGTTGAAGTAGTTCATATTTAATTTAGACAGGGTGCTGCTTTCTGAGCTGTTCACTGAGGGTCACAGTCTTCAGTTGCACCTTGAACCTTCAGCGCCAGGCCGCGTTCAAGACAGGGACACGGCCAGGAGCCATGGGACGGGAAGGTCTACAGGATGCCTCGACTCTCCCTCAGCTTAAGATGAGTGCAGGGAAGTTGGATGGATGTCCTCAGAGCTTTTGAGTGTCTCTTTTTCTTATGTATAAGCTGCTGTCCTCTAGTTGATATCTTGATTTAGTGAATTGTAATGGATCGAAGGAGTCACATGCTTTTTTTGTTACTGTAAACTCAGTTAAGATAGATGGGTTCTTGTGCAGTGGCTGCAGACTGCTTTCACGGAACTGAAGTTTCTAGCCAAGAGACTCAAGATGCCTCATCCTCCCAGTCCTGCAACAGAATCAAAATCCCCACGAAGTTCCGTCCTCCTACTTTTATTTACAAAACGTATCCTTGGAAACAGGTCAGATTGAAGAAGCCTCTTTTCCCTCTTTCATTTTAGACGACTGGCTGTTCTGTGTTAAGTCTCAGATAGACTTTTGCTGAAGTAATTTTACTGTCTTCTGCGGTGGAGTTAGCCTTCTTGAGTGACCTTAGTCAGGATACAGAATAAAATTAGATGCTCTGCAGCACTTTCTAGGACACACTTATTTAGCTACCAGGTCATCAGGTTAGGCTGTGCTCAAACAAAAACACTGCTGCATTTGTACCACATCAGCATTCTCTCCAGGAAAGGAATCTGTATTTGAGCCTTTTGTTAGAAAACGGAAATAGTCTTCTGTTGTACTCTCGTGAATGATAGATCGTCTCTTTGGTACAGGATACATTGGGACCTCACTGGCATGTTGTTAGTAATTAGTGTTACTCTGTTCGATTCCATTTCTTTGGAATGAAAGGGGCCTGTCCTCATCTCACTGCACGGTCTGCGCGTTGCCACCCTGGCCCTGAGAGCGCAGCATTTGGCCTCCAGCTTCATTTTGTTCAGCATTGATTTAGCACTTACTCTTCGCTGGGCGCTAAGATCTTCATGCTGAATTCATGTTGAGTGTTATAAAGAATTTAGTGTGCCAGACCATTGCACAGAATTCTTAGTAACAGAATGGGATGAAAAGCATTGGAAGCTTCTCAGCAGGTTTTTCAAATTGGTTACCAGTAGCTCCCCTGCAGGGGAAATTAAAGGTCTAAGAACTGCTGCTAATTATGTAAAATTCCAGTAGCTAAAGATACTGATGGTATGCCTTTAATTTAAAAAAAAAAAAAAAAAAAAAAATCCCTGATACAGGAATGCTATTTCCTAACAAAGAAAAGGTCCCACTCCCCTGTAGTCACGTGATTTTAAGTGTGGTTTTTAATATAAATGACCATATTTTCAGGAGGTTGCACAAAGAAGTACAGTCTTTAAAACAAGCATACCTGAGGAGGAGGAGGAGGAGGAGGAGCCGTCGGGAGTGGTTGTTGAGGAAGAGCTTTTCCACCAGCAGGTATTACTTTACTTTTCATTTTTATTAAAAGAATTACACAGAAACCTGTCCTGTGGGTGGGGGAACCCTCGCCTCATTAGCTGATGAATCAGAGCAGTGATCTTATCAGGTGAGTATGTCCTTCCAAACTGATTGTTCAAGGTAGGTTACTCCTGGAAAGTGTTAGTATTTTTTCTTCTTTTTTCTCATTCTGTCACGCTTCACTTGTAATGTACATATTGTCATGGGACATGCATATGGCTTATGTTAGTGTATATGGGTTGGACTGCAGGCCCAGAAACTTCCATTCTGTTGGATTCTGTGACTGACAAGCTTAGGTACTCAGAGCAAAAGTGTGTTTGCATTTAAATTGAACACCAAGGAGAGCTAGGCCTGGTGGTGCATGCCTGTAAGCCCAGCACTTTCAGAGGGAGAGGCAGGAGGATTACAAATTAGAGTCCAACCTGGGCAGTTTAGCAAGGCCCTGTCTCAAAATTTACAAAGGCCTGGGGATATACAGTTCAGTGTGAGGGCCTGGGGTTCAATTCCAGCACTGTCAGAAAAGCCCACCAAAGGGTACTATTCAGCTTCAATATGAAACAAATTCTTGCTATATTAAGTTCCTAATTATTATCTAATTGTAAGACAGATTTTAGCTGATGGTTAGGCTTTTGAGAGTTCTTGAAATAAAGAAACTCCAAATTTGGTTTTAATTAGAATTATTAATGACTCATGAGCTTTCAGTTTATGTTCTCAGGCCACTTGAGTCTGATCATTAATCAGAGTTTCTCTCCTTACCCTGTAAGAGTTCATCCTTGTCTCCAGGTTTATAATCCAAGTTCACTTTGCTTCACTAGCCTTAGTCCTCTTTTTTTTTTTTTTTTTTTTTTTTTTTTTTTTTTTTTTTTTTTTGTGGTCTAGGGACAGAAGATAGGGCCTCATTTGAGCTACACTTCCATTCCTTTTTAAAAATTTTATTTTGAGACAGAGTCTCACTGAAGTTCCTAGACTGGGCTTGAACTTGGAATCCTCCTGCCTCGGTCTAGTGAGTGAGTACTCAGTCCTGTGCTAAATAAATATTTTTATGTGTTTTAATGCCCAAGGCTGAGCATCATTTGGGGTAGGTTATATGAAGTAGAATGAGTTTGCTTTCTTAAATCTGGATGCCTTCTCAGACCATTTGGTGCAGTATTTAAGAACAGAATACTTTCTAGTGCTTGGCTTTAAAAGAAACAAGCACAAGGCAGAAGAGAGAGGAAGGGGAGGGGACATAAAAGAATTAAGATAAGTAGTACATATGTCACCTCCTCACGATGGACATAGTCATTATATACTGCAAACTGTACTTAATTAAAGTAATTAAACAGCCAAGAAAACCTTTAGGAACAAGAGAAAGCCTTTAAGATTTGATAGCCTTACAGAGGGAGTTTGTCAGTACAAAGATGGAATCTCAACTGAAAACAAGGTACTCTCAGGTCTCAAGTTGCAGGTTCGTCAGTCCAACTTCACATGAAAATGAACTAGGGAAAGTGGACTAGACAGTCTAAGCTGAGACTTTTCTTCCAAGAGAAATAGTAATGTTAAAAGATCCTTCACCCACTTTCCTGGCCCTCTTCACCGCCCACTGCGCAGACTGGAGGCTTGCATTTAATGTCTAGGTGCTGTGGGAACCTCCACTAGGCTTTTACTGAGATGCCACAGAGGGCCGCTAGAGGGCACTTTGCATGCTCCATCAGGGTTTCCTGCGAGGAAAAGGAAGGAGCTGGGGATCAAAGATTTAAGTCTTCCGACCAGGAAGTTAAGACCTGAAAGCTGCCACTATAATGACCCAGAAGATAGAAAACTAAACATGCTGCGTTTCAACACTCAAGAAGAAAGTACAGACAACTGCACAGTAACATGCCCAACCCAGCCCCATGGGAACTGTCTGGTTCTGGGCAGCTGAGCTAATGCAGCGGGCCCACTGCTTAGGGGCAGGGGTGTCCTGCCGTTTTGTTACGGGAAGAGAAGAGTCTAGGCAAAATGATTAAGGAGTAGTGAGGCAAAGCCTCTATCTCAGAGGAGAGCAACAGGGGGCCTGTGAGGTGGGCAGCCAGCAGTGCCCTGTGGATCCATCTACATCCAACCAGGAAGGGGTTGAGACTGAGGATCGCAGTCCTCCATCAGTACAGCTGTATGTAAGAGGAGACATCTACATTACTGTATTATAATCTCAGTTGTTTGCCTAATGAATGCCTCATGTTTTTGTATTTACAATGCACAAGAATTTGTGAGTAAGTAAACTGGATACAAAGAATGAAAAAAAACAACACATGATCCATTTCCTGCCCTTAATAACAGATACCATAATGACTAGAAGTAAAAATCACATTATAGATATCTAAAGGTGCTGGAATTGCTTCTCAGCCCTTTGGCTAAGATCAAGAGTGAAAGTGCTGGACAAGTGATCCACATGAGCTTTGGAAGAAGCTGGAGAAGGCTCTTCAGATCACCAGTGCAGTTGAGAACTTGAGCAGTGATGCTTGTCCAGGATTTTGAAGGATAGGAAGTTGAGTATTACGGAAAAAGCAGATGATGATATTCTGAGTGAAGTATCTGTTTCCACATTATTGATAGCCTACTCCAAACTTAGTGGCTTCAAAACAGTGATTTAGTCCCGTGGTTCTGTGGTTTGACTAGGCTCAGCTGGGTGTTTCTTCTGTGCCTGGTGGAGGTAAAAGCTCATGCCGTTATTCAGCTGGGCTCTTGTCTAGGGCTGGATGTAATACCCTGTAGGACTCTTTCTGGGCGGCTTCCCTTGGTTAAGCAGTTTAGCCCAAGCTGGGTGTTTTGCATCACAGCAGCTGGCTAAGAGGGTGAAAATGGAGAGGACCTAGTCCTTTAAAAGCTACAGTGAAAGTTGGCACAGTGTCTCTTCCATGTTCTCTCAGCTAAAGTAAGCCATAGAGCCAGTCAAAAATCAAGGTGAGGATGAATAGTCTCCACCTCTCAATGGATGGAGTGGTGAAGGATTTATGATGAGCTTCAGTTCCCTAGGGGCTGTGTCAAGAAGCACGCACTAAGTGTATCTGTCCATACAGTTGTAGGGTCAAGTTTATGTGAGGGAGAAACGAAGGTGAGGCTGACAGTCTGGAATGCTTCTATGTAGTTGGGAGGATGAGGTAGAAAGGTCGAGACTCAAATTTTAGAGTGTCACTGGGCTAGCTGGATCCAGGGTTGACCTTTGAAGGGAGATTGCACTCAGGAAAATTATAAATGGAAGTTCATCGATGAATATTGTAAACTTAAAGGCTCAAGACAAGGGAAAAAGCCAAAGATGCCTTAGTGGTTTATTTATCCATAGTGGTTTATTTATCCCCCTTCTCATAAGAACTTAAAAAAACAGAAAACACGTACACACTTACAAAAAAAGCCAACTATGACGTTTTTAATCCTGTGTGATCATAGAAAATAAGGATAGCAAAGTTTAAAAGCAGGAAGATGGGAGGACAAAACCGCAGTTCTGACTATGTTGGAGGATGAATCCAGTGGCCTCTTGAATTGATTAGAATTTTTTTGGTCACTTTCAAGAAACCTTTGTAATCTGATCAGTGGTGAGTCACAGGTCATATTATGAGGTTGTAAGGAGTTAATGGGTCATAAAAAAATGAACAGTTGAGTCTGTGACTTCATTTGAGGACAAATCTAATGCACATGGGCTGGGAGTAGAATTCTGGATGTAGCAAACCAGGTGCTCTAATCTCCTTGTTCAAACTGGAGTCCACTTGTCCTGATATTTCAGAGAAGAAAGGGAGGTCGTAGAACAGTGATTTCTGAATTCAGCTGTGTATTAGAACTACTTTAAGTCATGTAGAGAGAGAGCCTTCACTAGTTAAATGAGAAAGTTCCATTCAGTTGATTCGGGACCTGGATCGAGCTCTTTCCTCTCCCTTCCCCTCCCCTCTTACCTTCTCTTGCCTTATGCAGCAGCGCAGAGCTGAGAAACTACTTTGGGATTTGCTGGAGCATTCTAGGGAAGAAGTCCTTGACAAAAGGTTTTAAAAGGATACGGAGAAGTGATAAGTTAGTGATGTGGGTGTGCAATGTCCCTCTGGTTAAAGGATTTTGTCTTATTTTAGAATACTGTGATCCATTTTCTTAGAAATCATTTGTTTTTTCTGTTTTTCTCATCAGGGAGCCCCAAGAGCGTCCAATAGAAGCTGTGCAATTATGTAAACTTCGCAAGGCAGCTGTCTTCCTCAGTATAAAGAAGTGTGGTAATTCTTACCTGTATACAGTGCAGATCCTTCTCAGAAGCACAGAGTATTTTTATATTTCCTTTATGTGAATTTTTAAGCTGCGAATCTGATGGCCTTAATTTCCTTTTTGACACTGAAAGTTTTGTAAAACAAATCCTATCCATACACTTTGTTGCAAGATGTGAATTATTGACACTGAACTAACTGTGCTGTTCGGAAAGGGTCCCTCAAATTTTTTGGCTTTTTTTGTAAGTGTGTACGTGTTTTCTGTTTTTTTAAGTTCTTATGAGAAGGGGGATAAATAAACCACTATGTGTCTGGCTATAAGTTGAAGATTGCTCCATCTAGATTGGCAATCTGCTCTTGAGTCTTTTCTGCTCTATATAACGGTGCTGTGAGGGCGGGGAAAGCATTTTTCAATATATTGAACTTTTGTACTGAATTTTTTTGTAATAAGCAATCAAGGTTACAAATTTTGTTTCGTTCTGTTTTTTAAATAGAAAAGAAAAGAGAAATTTTGTAAGAAGGCAATATTAACCTAATCATCATGTAAGCACTCTGGATGAAGGACTCCGCAAAGCTGTTCCATGGTTATTCCTCTTAGAATCTTAACTCATGAGGGCAGTGGGGCCGGGCAGGGGTGGTGGGGCGAGGGAAGGGTTTCTCTATGAAAATGCATTAGTCGTGTTTTTTAAGATAGTGTAACATGCTTACATTTCTTATGTGACATTAACAAATAAAAAGTTCTTTTAATATTAATCTACTGTCCTTTTTAACCCTTAGAACCTTAAAATTTTGACAGGAGAAAAGTTTCAGTTTTGCTATTGTTGAAAAATAATGTGGCTGGTTTTTTTGCTTGGGGGAAAGAGCAGGGCCCCGAGTGTAGTTCAGGCTGGGCTTGAGCTCTGGGTAGTCCTCTTGCCTCAGCCTCCCAAGTGCTGGGATTACAGGTGTGTGCTGCCGTGCCCAGCAGTATGGCTTATCTGAACTGGACTTTTCTTTAAGGCTTTGATAGTTGACAAAGATAAGGTATTTTGCCACCTCCCCCTGTGCTACTTTTGTCAGTAATAGCACCAGCAGTTAACAATAGTAGCTAGTGTGTTTGAACAAGATATGTTCAGTGTTTCGTATTTTCTCGCTAATTAATAATTGGGCCTTGAAGGTTTTTTCAGGGAATCCAAGTAGGGGTTGTGGGAAGACATTTATATTAAAGGAAAGATGAAAAGAATATTTTAGAATCTGCTGTTCTTTAAAATAAATTCATTCAAAGCTGCCTTTCAAGTGGCTGTGAGTGATACAGAGGACAAGTGTGCGCTTGGGGGTGGCCTTGTTATGTTTGTCTACAGTTGGGGCGTCCACGGCTGTGGACTGGGCAGGGCCTGTCTCGCGATTGCCTTGGCGGAATGAGCTTATTTGCGGGAAGCAGTGTTCGTCTGGAGCCTCCTCCACACTCATGGTATTTCAGGAGCCCACCCAGAGCCCATGTTTGCTTTCCTCTTACAATATTCCCCAGGAAGCTGTGAAGACTGCCAGCTTTCACTTGAAAATAACGCACAGCAGTCCCAAATTACTATGCTCCGCAGATTTACTGCACACTTTGGTGCTGTCACAGACGCAAGAGAAATGCTGGGTTGGAAGTCCTGTCTGGTGAAGCAGATAAAATGGTAACTGCTCAACACAAATTCATCTTCCGAATGAGAGAGGCAGTACGGTGGACAGCCAGACTTGGTTTTGAGACATTTTGCCACAAGATGGGGTTCTTGTCACCAAAAGACACTCTAGGTGCTTTACTGCTAGGTAAATTGGGTAATAAAAATCAACACTTTAATTAGGCATTAAATTCAGCAGCTGTAGTACAGTAGAACAGTATGTACTCCGTTGAAATTTGAATTGCCTTCAGTCAGGAACCTGTAGTAAAGTTGGATGTTTTACTGTTCTTTGAAGATACCTTTCAAGAGCTGCTCTTTGTTTTTCTACAAGCTCAGTGGATGCTGAATCATCTTTACCTACTTTGACCTTGGTCATACCTACTATTTCCTGGAGCTGATGGCACGGTATAAACAACATGTAAATACTTGCTAATTTGCTGTGCAAACCAAGAAGGTCACTGCATCTTCTTTTAACTGAAAGTTCACTCTTACTGAACATGGAAAGAGAAGTCCTTGCTGTTGCTCTGTACGCCGTGTAAGCACTCATGCCGTCACCAGCTTTCTCTGGGTCTCACACGCCTAGAACTTAGGCATTGGGGCAGTTCTTCCGCACTCACTAAGAGAATGAAGAAATGAAGGAGGCAGTAGCTAGGATTGTGTGTTCTTTCTGTCTGGCTGCCTTAGTAATTTGACTTCCAGAGCCAAGTAATAGGAATAAGTAAAATATTTAGACAAAATACAGGCAGAACGTATAGCAGTCATTTTAAGCGTGATGGGAGCCTGACGTGAGGAAATTGCTGGTTAGTGGGCAGCGGCGCGGGGAGCGGAGGCCGCCTGGTGTTTGGGGCTCAGCGGGAGGGCGTAGAGCTGCGCAGGGCCGAGGAGACGCATGCTGGACGCAGGTGTGAAATCCTCCCGGCCTTCTGCTTCCCCCTTCCACAGCGGTGCCTTTTCTTTCACCTGTGACACACGGTGTGTGTCCTCTGCGGTCCTTTCTCCAGAGAGAAGAGCACCTCTCAGTGTGAGGACACAGCTTGTCCACTGGCATAATTACTTTCTAACAATAAAACACATGCTCACCTGGATTTACTGTGTGAGAGCTTCCTCCACAGATCCGAGTTGGATCTCAGTGCAAACGCCAGCCAAGTCTGCCCCTAGAAGAGTGCAGCGCCTGTCCAGCTCAGTGGTTTTATACGAGTTTGGCTCTGTTACTGCAGACGAGCAGCAAGCTGTGCGCTGAAGAGTTCTCTGTGTCTGTGTCGTGTGCTGAAACTTCGGTGCTGATTTCTGTGATTTACAGTAAATCCCCACTAACTTTTAAGCTTTATTTCATGACCCACTTGCTCACAGCCGGTGGCCCTTTCTCTGCTGCTGGAGCAGCTCCTGTCTCCTGCCTTTCTCCAGGGACCGGCTCCGGGGACAGACCGCACTCGTGCAGGTATAACGGGAGAGGGACCCTTGCTGGTGTTGGGTTTTACGTTTTGTGACTCGTCTGGGTCGTGTTCTCTGGTTTGGGCTGATCACATGTGCGCGTGTGTGCGTATAGTCCTGCGTCACAGAACTTCATTTTGGGCACAGTGCTCCCTGGAGGGGCACGGGGGTCTCATCATGCTGAACATTGTCCTTGTGGCACAGGACTGGCTTTCTAGCCTCATGGCCAAGAGCGATTGTCAGATGCCTTGTTCATTGTCTAGGGTATTTCCCTTTATTTTTTCTCCGTTCTCTGTTTTTTTTTTTCTTGGCTGTACTGGGGATTGAACCTCGGGCCTTTGTTCTAGGCTTTGAGACATGGTCTTGCTTAGCTGTCCAGGCTGGGCTCGCACTTGTGACCTTGCCTCAGCTTCCCAGAGTGTATTCTCCATTTTTGAGCCAAGGAGCCTTCTGGCTCATACTGCTCTTTAATATGCATTGCTTTTTTAATTTGTTTTGTTTTCTGAGACGGTCTCACAGTATAGTTCAGGCTGGCCTTAAACTCACTATGTACCCAGGCTGGCCTCAAACTCGGTGATCCTCCTGCCTCAGCCACCTGAGTGCTAGGATTGGAGGTGTGTGCCATCATGCCCGGCAAGTGCTGCTTTTTGACTTAGACCCTAGTATTTGTTCTATATCACAAAGACATTGTGGGCCTGGCCTCTAACCTGAGAGGAGCTGCTCTAGTCCCCAGTAAAGAGTGCTTGTGATTACAGGCCTTTCCGGGAAGGACCCCTCTGTGCAGAAGGGTCTGGCTGCCGGAGGAGAAGCCCTGATGTGAGCCAGGTGACGTCAGCAGAAATCCTGCAGAAGGTCTAATGGGGTACTTGCTTGTGACCTGCACCTGGGGGAACACTGGAAAAGGGAAGAAAAGCAGGGTGGCCTGTGGCAGTGTGGCCCTGTGGTCATTCTGTGAGAGCTGTTGTGATGGCCCCTTACACATGAAACCCAGGTCCTCACGGTGGGTGGGAAAGCAGCCTCAGACCACCGAGAAGGAGAGGAGAGCTGGGGCACTGACTTCCCAGTGGAAGTTCATGAGGCCGGGTGCCCTGCTCTGTCGGGCTTGGCACATTACAGGTTACCGAGAAGCTCAGGCTAGTGCCCTGGGGAAGTAGTGTTGTCCTTGCTGTAGGTGGGATAACAGACCCTGGGGTGCCATTTATCCAGTACTTCATTCCTTTAGAAACTACTCACAGGAAGATTCAGTTTTGCCAAGCATGGCCTAGCAGGGCGACAGAACACCAAGATACAAGAGCCAGTTCTTTTCTAGTTCCATCTTTGACAGCTGTGCCTCTTCTATCCTGGGCAGCAGTCAGAAAATAATTTACATAGCCAATTTATTAACGAAAATGGTGCAGTTCATTGTCGGATATGGGAATAATTTACATAGCCAATTTATTAACGAAAATGGTGTAATTCATTGTCAGATATGGGTGGGAACCACTCCAACTGCTAGACAAGCCCCAGATCCCTATTTTAAGTCTGTGGTTTCTAATGTCCATCAAGCTAATGGCAAATTCATGAATATGACTTGCATGGTGCTTTAGAAAATGCTTCTGTGTGTTTCTGCTGATTTGAACCCGTCACCCTGCAGGTGGGCTTAGGGGCGGAAGAAGGAGTCAGTTTTCCACAGCCCAAGTTCTTGCCTGGCCTTAGTCCTTTGCTTTTGTTGAAAATAGTTGGCTCTCAAGGCAAAACCGCAGCCCTGGAGGTGACGTTTGCCCCGCTCGCTAGTTCCAGACGCGCTGTCCCTGACATCAGGGAGGTACTTGGTGTCCCATTAAAGATTCCAGGCGATCTCACTTTTGCATGAGCTAAACAGAGGTTGGAGCGCCCAGTGATTTGAAAGCGGTTTGAGCCCCAGTGAAGCAATGTGTTTATAAGGGAGTTGTTGAAAAGGATCCAGAGGCTGTGCGAGCACATCCCAGCTATCCTCACGGGGGTGGGGGAGGCTACGAACAAGGAGAATTATTGGCATTGTTGATTCGGCTCTGATCAGAAAGGAGGGAAAAAAAATTTTAATAACAGAATTGACCATTTTTTAAAACATGCCAAACAATAGGCATGTTATATTCCGGATTTGTACTTTCCCAGACAGATAGGCTGTTCCGCAGATCGGCTTCATGAAACTGAATGAATCACAGCATTGTTTCTGCCTTTGAACCAGCTCTGCCGATGGAAGCCCGTAAGAGCAGCAGTTAATGGCGGTAAGTTGCTGTCACTTAGCGGCATGTGCCTGACAAAAGCTGACTTTGCTGCATCTCCGGTTCCTTGCCTGTAAGTTCAGACTCAGTCCTGTTCCCCAGAGTTGAAGGGAGAACTAAATTAGATCACATGAGAAGATCATACCAGTATAGTAGGTTGTAAATAAATAGAAATTTAGATGGATTCACTTCAAAGTTTTTGGCTAGGAAATAAGACGGGAAGTTAGGTGAGATTTTATTACAATATGGCTTTAATTCCTGTGGTTTGTGTAGTCTACAAGTGGGTGTGGTGTTGGTTAGAGTTAACATTTCTCCTTGAGTTAGTTAATTGGGTGGTTAAATAAGGGAAGTCATTGAGAATACTGAAAGTGCCATACTTATTTCATGAATACAAACATTAATTCAAGAAACATCAATTAAGTAATTCACTGAGTGG